ACCATAATTTCATGGTTGTCTTCTCATAATTACGAGAGGACCTTTTTGCAATTTTATGGTGGTTATAAAAAAGGGTGGACCTGACATCGGTTTGCGTAATGGAACTGTGGTCTGCTGTGGTCTGTATACTTTTTGTTTTTATGGAAAATTTTATTTTTCGTTAATAAAAGAAATTTCCTGGTTCATTCATAAATCAGGAGAGAAGAATGTAGAATAGTCTGACATGTAAGAATAGGAAGTTTGAGGACTAGGGGAGGGTGTGCCTGTACCGCCCACCTAAAGGGAAAATGCCAGTTTTATATTTTATATTTCAACTTGAGAATAAAAAACGTATTTGTGAGACTTCTTTAACTATTGAACTCGTTATTCTCGAAGTGTAGACGCCTAATTCTCCTTAGAATCCACAAAATTGATTGAAAATAAAAGAGAGAGCCTATTGAGCGGTACTACCCGCCGTCGGGTAATACCGCTCGGCACGATTCCAATGCCGCTCATAGGGTTTTGCGTGTATCGCTCGCGCCGCAACCTAACCTGTACTCGAGTGCTGTCGAGCAACTACGTGGCCGATCCTATGAGCGGTATTACCGGCTCCGCTCGGCGTCAACAAAATTGTTGATAATTATTGACATGAGTGGAGTTTTGAGTTCGAATTAGTCTCAAATTACGCGTGAAAGTACCACGAATCGAATAACCATAGTTTAATATGAGAATTCAGCGTTTGAAACTATCAAAAACCTTAATTAAAAGTCCACAAATTTTGCACTGTTAAGACCTCAAAACTTCGTTACGTGTTTTGTCATATTTAAAGTGGTAAATAACGTGAAAATTTTCCGACAATCACATTCTATCAAATTCTTCATGATCAGGAACAGAAAGAAATTTTTAAGTTGATGATTGCGGAGAAAATCGGGTGAGCGGTATTACCCGCTGAGCGGTACAGGCACACCCTCCCCTATATGTGCATAGATGTGCGAGTGTCCACTGGTACTCCACTGGGAAATTTTTTTTTTTGCAAAAACGCATTTTATGTCATTAGGCTCGATAAACCGCGATTCTAAACTCGTTTCGCTCGGTCAGATCGCGGTTTTCGGGACCAATAACGTAAAATATTATATGTCACACGGCGATAAAAGTATTATCTGATGAATGTGACTTTATAATCTGAGCCGAATACGAGGATTATAATCACATTCGTCAGATAATACTTTTGTATTATACAGTCCGTAAAACGTGGTTCCGGACATTTCGTATCCGTAAACGCCGTTTACGGACATTGTAAAGAAAAATTATGTTCGTCACTCGGCCGAAATAGTATATTTCGTCATTAGGACGAAAAAAATTTTTTGGCGAGTGTGAGGGTTACAGATCGAGGCGAAGCCGAGGAATAGCTATTTCGTCCCGGCGGGCGCTTTGCGGGGGGGAAATGTCACTTTGTGCCCGCCGGGACGAAATAGTATCTTTCCTACCAGGAACTTCCCTCGCCTTTGGCTCGGGTGGTAATTCTGCACGTGGGCACGACTCCTTTATTTAACCTCCCGTGATCAGGACGTTATTTTCCGTCATATCTCGAAATTTCGAAAACTAGTCAATTGACTCCAATAATTTGTTTAGTAAAATATCCTTTTTTATACCTTCTATTTCGATCAATCAAAATATGTACGCTGTCAGAATTTTTTTGAAATTTCATGAAAGATAATATAGCAAATGTCATGAGAGTAACATTGAATCGGATTTAGGAAAGAAATGGTTATGAAATTTCAAGTTTTAAGGTGTTTAGGTTGAAAAGTCAAAATAATGAAAAAAAATTGGAAAATTTATGGGAGAAATTTCTAATTGTGCTGCATTATTGAGAATTTTTGCACATTTTCTTCAAATCGCAGTGACAATAAAAAAATAATGAAATTTGGATGTTTTTGTAACCCTTCTCAATTAGGGAAATTTCCATGGCACCCAAAAAAATAATGAACTATTGAGGAAAAATTAGTGGGTGATAAATCAAATCTTTCTTGAGAACACGTATAAGTTTTAGATTTTTTTCAGATTCCATAAGAAAGTTATTTGAACAAATAATTCGGAAAATTATGAGTTTCGGGGCAATTACGCCCTCACGGCAGGCGCGTGATGCGAATGTTAGTGAGCATTATGGGAAAGGTATGGGTGGACCATGGAACTGAAAGAGAGAAAACATTCGAGACGCATTTTAAAATTATTTCAATAATTAGAATAACATCCAGTAAAAATTATTTGACACCCGCAGGTAATGAGAAAAAAATCAATCAATCTGATAGATAAAATCAATAATCAAAAAATGTTCAAATGCACACTTAAATAGTTACTTGAAAATTGGAAAATTTCGTGCTCAGCGATTGAATCAGGACTCGAGAACAATGAGATTCCCCTTCCGTTTAACCCCCCGGAATTCACGGAAATTCATGAGTTTTCAGTGGGAATGAGATGGAATTTTTACAACTTGATAGAATTTTCAGTGGAACATGAATATTGAGAACCAAAATGACATGAATTTTCAATTTTTTCTTGACCTTTTCTGATTTTTCTGAATTTTCACAGAATAATTGAAGTGAAAAATCAAGCATTTTATTGATTTCCAGATCATTTGAACAGGAAATCAATGGAATATTTGATTTTTCAATGGCAAGATTGACGGAAATTTCAGTAGAACTTGTACACGATAAAAATTTCCAGAATTTAGCGTTTCAGACGAAAATTTTTAACAGTATACAAAATACAAATAACTTGCTAATTGCGATGGCTTTCTTTCTCCTCTAACAGCCTAGAAACTAACAAGGTTCCGGTTCCTGTGGCGCCACAGCTTTATATTTCTGTAGCGAAGTGGTAAACTAGGATAAGTGCAATTTTTTTGAAAAATTTTCTATTGCTTCACTCGAAAGTTCTCTCCAATGTGGTCAAATTTTTGAACTCTCTTGAAAAAGTTCCATTTTTGCACTTGTCCTAGTTTACCACTTCGCTACAGATTTTTATTACCGTAATATTGTGCATGAGGACTACGGTAAAAATACTAGAAAAATTCCATCGTTATCGATTATCGACAAACAATTTATTTTTCATCGATTTTCCATTTTCGTCTTTTTATTTTTGATTAAGATATGAATGTCATTTATGAATCTATATTCGAGTAAAATAGGTAACTGGGATTTAAAAAATTCGAATGTTCGCTCAATTTCTTTAATTTTCTATTTTTGAATACTGACTTCCTGCCGGCATTAGTAGAACCATAGCATGACTCCAGTCGGCATGCAAAGGGAGGATTCTCAGTTAGTAATGACGATACAACTTGTTTTCACGTGCTTTGGGGTGCAAACGTTAGAAGGCGCTCAAGGACACATCCCAATTTCTCATTTTCGAAAGACTTTTCTACTCAATTTTTTTTTAGACTTTTCTACTCAATTCAACACTGAAGCACCAGAATTTTTCACTCTGGCTTTTTAATTCGCATTTCTCTGAATATTTATAATTCAGTCACAAAATGTTTTTGACATTATTGAATGCTTAAATTTCATTTTAATATTTGATAACGCGGCATACCCGACTTTGATTCGTCAATTGATTATTTCAATGGTTGTCTTCAGTACGTGGTGACATATGGGTAATAGGTTTTCTAAATATATTCGAAAATCGCCATCAGAAGTGAAATTTAAATCTTTAATGAGACTTAAATGTGATAAGTTCCATTCTTGAATTCATGATTCAGTTTATCCTTGGCATTATCTTGAAATAAATGATAAATCATAAAGAAGACGGGCTTCACTCCAATGCATTTGATTCGATTTAATTGATTATCCAAGACTCCAAAAATTTCTACCAATTTCATTAATAATAAGGTGCCGAATAAATTCGTAGCAATTCCATTTTTAGAATAAAAAATGGAAAGTTCAAATTAAAATACGATAGCAATAATATAATTTTACTTTATATCACTTTTTAAGTCGTTCAGACTCGTGAATTATTGATAAAATGATGATGTATTATTTTATGGAAAAAGATTGTTAGGTGAATGGGTCTATGCCAAGATGTACTGAATCGATTGACACGAAATTTTCCGCGCAACTGTGATTCGATAATTCTAACTAGTAGCCAAAATTTCAGATGCTCATTCTCACTTTTACGCGTAATATGGAATGTCATGATTGATCTTGACAGGGGACAGCAAGACGAGTATTTTGAAAAAAAATGACATCAGACCAGTAGTGGGGAGATATTGCGCAAAACAGTTTGTCACAAAATTCGGATATCTCCTAAACTATTTATCCGATTCCGCCCATCCACAATCTGATCCTGTATCCTGTATGCCATCTCCTTTTTTTTCCAGTTATTGTGTGTACAAAATTTTTCATTAAAAACGGGAAAGCCGGAATATCTCCAAATTATGTATTAAAGAGTCTCTATATTCTGATTGACTTACATAGAGGCCATCGAGACGAGTATTTAGAAGAAAAAAATTGAAATCGGTGTAGTAGTTTTTGAGATATTGAAGAAAAACGAAATTTAAACAAGTTTTTTATCTCAGGAACTACTGGATGGACCGGGCTGAACCAACGCGCCAAAGTTGAGCACAATAATAGCTACAATGCGTCAAAATTTCAAATTTTTATCTGCGCATTTCACCGTATTTACGTTAAATGTTCTAAAGATTAATCATGATCCTAAAAACGTGATTTCTTCGCGTTTCATAATATTGTAGACAATTTGCAATCAAAATTGCAAAATCGAAAAATCGGTGAAAAACACGGCTTCCAATCAAAAAACTTATTCATTTCATTTTATCAAAGCTGTTTTCTCGCAACTAATTTTTCTCAATCATCAGGAAATTTGGTTTCACACGTTCCAGGGAAAATGAGATTGTTGGAAAATAGTTAAACATCCTCATTGCTAGGGTTTGAATGAACCGCCAACTCCCAGCATCATGGAAACTCACTTTTCTCTCACTGCCACATTGAACGACTCTTCGGTGGCAACTTGAACACTTGTGTGAGTGCTTCTCGATTCATGATTGTTTGTAGCCTGAATAAAAAAGGAAAGACTAATTAACTGCAATAAGCTCATTGCCTAGAAAGTGTTCCGCAGTCAAATGGCGAACTTCGAAGTATTAAGAAAAGACTACAGTGTAAGTGAATGCCTTCTCCAATCCATCAGCGTTATTTATTTCCATACTCACATTTGGAGGTTATGTTCACGAAAACATTCCTATCAAACAAACTAAATTCAGTAATTAACTTCAACATCAAGTATCATCTGAATATCACGAACATATTCCACTGCATAATATTTCGTCATTCCCTTGGATATAAATGATTCGATTATAGGAAGAAAATGAAGAGTTTCGTTAGGGCGATAGCTAATCTAGCTAACCGGCGTTTTTATTTCCTTGATTGCTTAAGGAGTAAGAGAATTCTGCTAATTTTCCAAATTTTTTAACAAACTTCCTGACGAATGTTATCGATATTTTTACAAATCGAAACATTAATCTACACGAGGCGATGAAGATTACTCTGCTTTGGGTTGGAGAAATATTAATAACTTTGAGCAGGAGATTTGTTTGAAAATTTCGAGGTAACGGTGGCCGTCTGTTACTCCTTAAGAAACTTATTATCAAGAATTAGGCGAATTAAAGAGAGAAATTTTCAGTTAATGGAACTAAATTTTTCATAAGTTTACGTTTTTTCAACGATTCTATTGTCTATCGTTTTTTAACTGAATCTGTTCATTCAATATGGAATATTCTAACAAATAAATTGACCAAGATGTTTATGAAAAATGTGAGAATAATGCCCTAGTCATATGAATACTAAATATTTAATTCAGTATTCACATAACGTTTTATTGATCGTCGTGAAATATCACGAATATATTCATTTTTATGGAATTTATTTCATGTATTCCCCACGTGTAGAATATTAAACAATGTAATTTTCAATGTTGGAAATTTCAATTGCAATTTCAATTCAATTTAAGACCGAACTTATTCATCTCGGAAATTCAATAAGATGTATTTTTTCATGCTAGGCGATCATTAGTATTTTCATCCTGGAAAAAATTCCCAAACTGATTGTGAAAATTGGACATCACATTAGATTCAGTAACGAATAGACAAAAAATTCTAAACAATAGTTGCCTAAATTTTCAGTTTTAAAAAGTTTGTATTCTGATATTCTCAAAATGAATATTCCCTGGAAATTTCTAATTCGGCAATTGCCTGAAGCTTTGATTATCTAGACATACTTATTTAAATTATGAAAAATAATCCGTTTCATGAGTGAGCATTACAATGATTCATTTAAACAATTTTCTTATTTGTTGTTCTATAACTCAATCTATCCCTCCAATATAAATCATGAAGAATTGATAACTCAATTTATTCATTGAGCATGAAATATTCGAACAAATTAATTGACCATCATGTATGTGAGTGCAAACGGGAGGGAAATGTGTACTTTGCGCCCGCAGGAGCAAAAATAAATCAAAAATAAATATAATGTCTTGCACTAAAAATTCATGAATTCAGTAGCGAAGCGGTCAAACGGCACAAGTTAAATAAGAATTTTGACTATGGACCAGTTTTTAATGAATATCTCAAAATCTAAGGGGGATAGCAAAATTTTTGTCATGACCTTTTTTGTAGCCCTCAAGTCACACTACAAGAAAGGTCATTACGAGAATATCGTTATCTCCAGTAGATTTAGAGATATTCCTCGAAAACTCAGCTGAGGGCTAAATCGACTTGAACCGTTTTCCCCCTTCGCTCCTGAATTGTAAATAGAAAAACGTTTTGCATATTTTTCTATGATTTAATTGAAAATGTATTAAGTGAGCTTTAATTACCTACAGAATCACTTGGCGGACTGTTTGAAGACGTCAGACATCTCCGAATTCCAGGAAAAATGTGTTGCCGAATGTACAAACGAGATAGAGAGAAAGTCAGCAGTGGATCAGGCCCTGAGAGATACTCTCCTCTCAGTACTGAGTGAAAACCTTACAGGAACTGTCGCAGCCCTCGAATCCTACGTGACATTGACAATTGAACTGTGCAGAACTGACCTAGCCTCGCCGAGTATGCCAGTCATGCTCCTGAGTGACATGTTTGACGCAATGACACTCGACAAATGTGAACAGTTATTCACCTATGTCGAGAATAACGTCACTGTTTGGAAGGAGGATTTATTCTTCAATGGCTGCAAGAATCATCTCCTGAGAATGTGCAATGATCTATTACGTAGATTATCTCGCTCACAGCAGACAGTTTTCTGTGGGAGAATTCTCCTTTTCCTAGCTAAATTCTTCCCCTTCTCTGAGCGTTCAGGCGTCAATATCGTCAGTGAATTCAATCTCGATAATCACACTGAGTTTGGCACCGATAAAACCGAAACTGACGTGACAGAGGCCATGGAAGTGGACGGTAAAGAAGACAGCAAGATACAGATTGATTACAATTTATACAGAAAGTTCTGGGCATTACAAGATTTCTTCAGAAATCCAAATCAGTGCTACAACAAAGTCCACTGGAAGATTTTCTCAGCTCATGCTGGTAATGTTCTGTCTGCCTTCTCCTCTTTCAAACTCGAAGAGCAACGTGCCTGTCCGACGACTGGGGTAAAAGAGACTAAAGGAGACACTGCAACCGAAGGAGTCCACAAAGAAACCCCTTATTTTGCTAAATACCTGACAAATCAAAAGTTGCTTGAACTTCAATTATCCGACTCCAACTTTCGAAGATACGTGCTGCTTCAGTTTCTCATTCTCTTTCAGTATCTCAATAGTACAGTTAAATTTAAATCTGAAACCCACGAGTTGAAGCCAGATCAAGTTGACTGGGTAAAATCAACGACTGATCAGGTATATGCATTACTTGTTGAGACACCTCCAGATGGTCCAGCATTCGCTGAGGTGGTGAAGAATATTCTAAAACGTGAGGAGCACTGGAATTCGTGGAAGAACGAAGGTTGTCCTGAGTTCAAGAGGCCAGCGCCAGAATCAGCAGATGGAGATGAGCCAAGAAAGCCCAAAAGATTAAGAAGAAGGATTGGGGATGTTGTGAGGGATGCACAGAGGGCTGGAAAATTCTGCATGGGCAATCCTGAGCTCACGAAATTGTGGAATTTATGTCCCAATAATTTAAAGGCTTGTAAATCAAAGGAGCGTGATTTTTTGCCATCTTTGGAGACTTACTTCGAGGAAGCTATTATGCAATTGGATCCAGATTCAATGGTGGAGGATGAATATAAGAAAGTTAATGATGGTAATTTTGGATGGAGGGCATTGCGATTGCTGGCTAGAAGAAGTCCCCATTTCTTCGTCCATGGCAACTGTCCGATATCAAAGTTACCAGAGTATCTGGAACTGATGATTAAGAAAATTGCCAAAGATCGACCTCAGCAGTCTGATATCAAACAGGAGGCTGAAGAAACTACACCACCAGAGGCCAATGATCAAGAGTTTAATGAAGACGTTTTGAAACAAGAGTCGGAGACTGTTGAAGCTGAAAATACTGACAATAAAGCAAGAAAGTTCAATCCAGTCAGTATGGAGATGATTGAGAAACTTTCAGAAGTACTCAAAGAAGATTGGGAGAAGTTAGCAACAAAATTGGGATACGACAGTGGAGAGGTATATTGATTATATATTTATAGTTTTTTTTTTTCAAATTACCGTTTAAGTTCAATGAGAAATATTGAAGTGAGTTTATTGGAAAAGTTTCACAGTACTTAATTATTTGTCCTCAGATTGAATTCTTCCAAGGGAAGCCAACTCAGTATGAACAATGCAAGACAATGCTGCAAATCTGGGCGGAAGCGGATGAAGATGCCTCTGTGGAGAACCTCGTGTACATTCTGGAGGGATTAAACTTTGAGAAAGCTGTGGCCGTATTGAAGCACAAGAACGACTAAAACCTCACAAAAACTTTCATTAATCATCAAAAAGGGTCTCTCAAGTACAAAGTAGCAGGAATAAATTGGTAATCCCATAGCTTTCTGTTGTTTTTTTTTATTGAGAAATTCAATAATAAAGTATACAAATCAAACTCTCTGGAAGTGGTTTTTCGTCTGGTGCAAATGATACTAAGTAAATCATCATTGCACACACTTTTCGGGGTTTTCTAAAAAATTTAGCCAATAAGCTTTCCAGATGTCGCAATCCAATTACGTGATTCAAGAAATATGGGCTGTATACTTTGTTTATGATTCTGATCGGTGCTTTCAGGAGTCAATTATTCTGGAATTGAGTATTACATTTTCAATGTTACAGACGTTGACTTAGATTCGACTTTTGGTGGGGGGGGGGAATTTTTGTAATTATGAATAAAATACATCAGTAATTCATTGGCGCACGGATACCACGGAATATATAGTATCAAAGAGGAATTCAACATTCTCTGTTACGATTATTACTTCATTTGCTAGCCTATACGTTTCGAGAGAAGTATTCTCTTGTTCACGTCAATTATACTATGCAAGAAAAATGGCAGTAATTCGAGAGCATAGCCTTCACACTTGCACACACTTTATTATTCATTTTCTGGGCTGTTCGTGGACGATGATACTAACTGGGTCATTCTTATTGATAGGCTTATTACTTATTGAATGATTTATTATCTTTACTGACGAACATATTCATAAATATTGACTAAATGTGAACGTTTTTTTTGCACACGTATTCTCATCATTCGCTGTTGTCTCACTTTGGGTATTATTTTCTCTGTTTTTTTTTTATCTTTAGTCAAGGAGATTTTTAAGATTAACACATGTTGATATGGATTAGGTGTCGATATGGTAAATCAATTCGCATCTAGTTACCTCTGAAGCTATCAGTCTTTTCGATAATTTCCTAGTAGGACATTTGTTCGAAAAGTAACAACATTGATATAATTTTTCAATTATTGTTTGTGTGAAATGGCGAGATGTTGAAGTATTCATTTCGTTGTCTCGAACATTTTGAGAACTTACAAAATTCTCTGGAGAACTTCTTGTAACCTAATGAGGAACACGTATCTCAAAAGAAAAATCTGAGAAAACACTTTGCAAGCTGGATCCTTTCATCTCGGATGTTTATCCAGAGCCTGAGACACTAAAAGGGATTTTTTTTTTTTTCAACTCATAGCTACAGTTATCTTCTTCATTTTGATGAAAATTCCAATCGATCAACCCAAATTGATTTTTCACAAATGAAATAGATAATATCCACCTAATACAGAAATTGCCATGAGATTATATGGACGCTTATATTTGAAATATTTTTCTGCTCTGCCATTTTTTTTTTCAATTATTTCTTTCACATTGATCTGTATTTTTGAAACATTCCAACAGGTAAATCATCAAGGCCCGGATGGATTATCTTTCGAACGTTATCTCGATTGTTTTTCCATCTTGATAATCTAAAAAATATCACAATTTCCACTGGATTTTAACATCACGCAGGGGTCCTTAAAAATATAATTGCACAATAAAAAAAAAGTAGAAAAAAAACTGAACATTTTCAAAGAGCATTTTTAACACTCTGTTGGTCGCGCTATGAGCGCCGGGCCGCACTTTTTCCGATTTTTTAAATTACACTGCAGTAAAGCCTCAGAAGAAAATTGAGAAAATTTGACATCTCATTTAGAAGTGTCTAGAAGCCCTATCACTGAAAATGTCCGCCAAAAATATCATAAGTAGTTGAATTTTCAAATTTTGATTCCGAAACTTGGGGCCATGTACCGTGTTTAAGGCGAATTTTCAGAAAATCATGGCAACTTTTGGGCTTGAATATATAATTAAGGGTAACACTGAATATAAAAAATCTTACGGGACTTCTTCAAGTATACGATGTAGATGACTCTTGATTTTTTCAAGATTTTTCCTAGATCTTTCAAATTTATCATAATGTCGATTTATGCTGGTGCGATGCGGCACTTACGGCGCGACCAACGACGTCCGTAACTTTTTCGCGAGCAACGGAGTGTTGATAAAGGAAATAAGTCTGATAGAGAGGAATTGTAAATGGATAAGTTATCATGGCAACTAACGATCGGACAGACATTGGCTACTGAGACAAATGACGACTGAATAGCCATTAGATAGTGTAAATTATTGATTTGCAATTTCCTCCCTATTGGGTTCAATCCCCAATATGGGAAATAAACCCAATAGGGAGGAGCCCTCGTTGAAAATGTTCAGGTTTTTTCAACGTTTTTTTGACTGTACAATCATAATTTTTGAAGACTCCAAGGCTATGTAAAATAAAATGGCAATTGAAAAACACGTGGGCACTAACTTGAAAAGATATCCTATAGAAGCCCGTGTAGAAGAACAAAATTGTTTATTCGATTTCGCCAAAGCTACTATAACTCATTTTTCTTGATTATCAGAAATGTTGGGTTTACATGTTTCCCTATAAGTTTAAAAAATGTCAGTTTTTCGCGAATATGAAAAAGTTTGACTTTCAGAGAATGGATTAACACCCTTAGGAAAACACGGAAGGATGGAAAGGACATGAGATTGATTCATCCCTTATTCCATCAGACTCATGCATAGATAATTCCTAAAGTATTTTCGTTCATAAATAATTGGTTCAGTTTTTTCAATTACGTTTTTTTAACTTCAGCTGGCAATAAGATACGTGAAATCAGCGTCCAAATCCGAGATACATATTTCAAAATGTAATATTCGAGATATATTTGAATTTTCCTCCTGATATACTAGCTTCTCATGAGGACAGACCGTTCTACAATGGCGAAACTGCACAATTAATCACAATTAATTATTCAACCTTTCGAGGATTCATTACTTTGACAACAGATGAATGAACATCTGTATGTTATTCTGAAATCAATACCGAGACCGTTCGTTTTTCAACGACAATTGAGAAGATTATGGCATCCTCTTCGGAATTAATTATTCAATCTCATTGGAGTATAAAATCCTCCATATTATCTGTATTCCAGACGTACATCGTTAATTATGACAGTGAAGTTGACGAAATTTGTGCTATTTTGAATAATTCCCAATGAGTATGTCATGGAGACGTTATATATTTTAAATTCAGCTTGCTTGATGATTGTGGCATTATACTGCCTTTCCAATGTCTCAAAATTCTCAACAAATAATTCAACTCCCCATTTCACTTATCTTCATACGTCATGAATTTGGCAGAATGATTGAAGATACCAAAAAAAGAAAATCTATCGTGGTACTGTTTTGAACTTTGGACATCGTAGCTCCTATATTTAAATATCATATAAAATTAATATAAATATTTAAATTAGTTATTGATAATTTCATCGAGATAACTCTGATACTCCTGTTCGGATAAATCAGCATTATCGTTGTTACTGATATTGTCATGAATGCTTCTGCGTCTTCTTGCTGATTCACTGGTAACTTCTATACACAGCAGTGCAAATTTGTTGTCGCATGAGTAACGTACTTGCTCCAAGAGTCTACCACCGGTGATGGGTGATCCCAATCCATAGCGATCAGAGTTTCCAGAGTGCCATGCATCGCAGTAAGTGTCCATTGCACGGTCACCGAGTTTGTGGGAACCGTGCCAAACAATCTTTTCCGGCCTGACAAAACAGAAGAAAAAAAAAAAGAAAAAGAAAAACGAAAAGTTAGAAACAAGAAGGTTCGATTCGACGATAAAACATTTGTCCACATTCCGTGTCCCTTCAATTTATTTCAAACGTCAATTGAAATCGTAAAAATAGATTTGGAAAGAAGGAGAAAAGAAGCGTAAAAACTCACCATGCCAAATCCGTCAATATGTTTTTACCGTTGAAACTGTAAATTCTTGGATTTTGTGAGAAGTATGCACCATGCCCATTGAACATCTCCTTCCACGAGTTAAATAGCACATCTCCTTTGATATTAACTATTGGCAGATCCCTGTCACCTAATCTAACTATACTATCGACATTTTGTACTCTCGAACTTAGGAATGCCCGGAAAGTTCCCCTTAAGCCTGCACGTCTGGCTTGTCGATAACACGCGTAATCCGCTCCTCTCACGCCATGCATATCACCGGTTATTGGTTCATTAAGAGCAGCCATTCGCAACTGAAAATAATATTTTCGGTTATTGATCGTAACACTACTTTTCATCTATCGTTTGAAATTTTTATTGAAACATCAATTCAACTCCATTAAATCTCTCACCATTTTCGGATACCACTGGTAGCGTAATAATTTGGAATCGATCAAGTGTTTCATTATTAAAGTAATAATTGAGTAATAAAAATCCGATAATATCGGATTTATTCTAACTTAAGAGGTTGGAGATAAATTATTGGAAGCTTACCCCGGTGCCATCGGCCTTCATGGGTATTTGATTGATTAGATTCGAAGCCTCGAAGGGTGGATTGGCGGGGGGTAGCACTGTAGTTGGTGGTGGCGGTGGTGTTGTTATCGGCAAGAGAGATCCGAGCTGAAAATATTTTCAGTTATTCGAGTGTAATGGATAGATTATGATTTGTAATGCATTCGGCACTGATGAGCTTACTGGGATGTACTGCCATCCATGATTGACTCTAACGAGTAATGCTTCTTCATCAATTATGTAGGCCAAAGTACCAACTGGACTAACACTCGACATCTGTGGAGAATATAATCATGTATACTTTCTAATGAAATGGTTTGTGCTTCCGAATGGAAGCCTTGTTTTTGACCGATTTTTCGATTTTCTAATTTTGAGTGCATATGATCGAGAATGTTATGAAACGTAAAGAAATGATGTTTTTAGGATCATGTCTGTATGTATGTATTCGACAACTTGGGTTTTTGGTGATTAATTTTTAGAAAATTCAACCTAAATACGGTGAAATTTGTAGATAAAAATCTGAAATTTTGGCTCATTGTAGCTATTACTGAGCTCAACTTTGGCGCGCTGTTTCAGCCCGACAGCTTCAGTAGTTCCTGAGATATAACGACTTGTTTAAATTTCGTTTTTCCTCAATATCTCAAAAACTACTGCACCGATTTCAATTTTTTTTTAATACTCGTTTCGATGGCCTCTATGTAGGTTAATCAGAATATAGACTCTTTAACACACAATTTGGAGATATTGCCGTTTTTCCGGTTTTCATGAAAAATCTTGTACGCACGATAACTTGAGAAAAAAAGGAGATTGCACGTTGAAATTTGGTATGGTTCTAGCTCCTATAATACTAAAGGTTGGTATTTTGGATGGGCGTAACCGGCCGAGCAGTTTCGTAGATATTACACCTTTTGTATAAATATTTTTCATTACAAGGTTGAATATTTTCCTGTGGACACCCCGTAGCATGTGGTTACTGTTGTATGCCTGTCGCAACGATAGGGAATTGCTACGGATCCCTTCGGAAGCTTACTACCAATGGAATTGGTACTAATAAAAAAAGAAAGAGACTAATAACGTAAAAAGTAACGGTCACATGTTTTCTTTCGGACAGGCTCGAACTTCTGCTTGTTTCAATACATAAATATTGCGGAGCTGAATTCGATGTAGGATGCATATTCAAACCTCTCATTTATCGAGATAATTTTTATCAAAAATTCTGAATTTTTTACCAAATATACTCTATTTTTTTCTTTTGTCGAATGGTGCAAACGAAATTTCGATTCAGTGAATTACTGACTTGTTAGTAACGAATTTCCGGCAATCACCGATCCTATCCTATCTTAAAAAGGAGAAAGGAAATCGATCTCGAAATATCTCGAATAAGCGTAAGCATAAGACTGAAACGGAAGCGCCCCTACGTGAAGAGATGAGAAGGCGCTTGCGCAGCACGCGCGGCCGATCTCGTGGTCTTAAAAATTGAAGAAAAATTTGTATTAAGGAATACTGTAATTGAACAACTATTTGGCGAAAGCTCAAGATAATCATTAAATTTTAGTTCATAATTTTTCGGTCATCAGTATAGAAGTTGTCGCGTATTGAACAGCGAATTCGAGAATATATTTATCTGGATTAAATAAAAAGTTGTATTTTTCGACTGTAAAATTTCAATACTAGAGAAAGTTATTCATCCAAATTCTCCTGATTTCTATAGATTTTCATGGAATAATTGAAATGAAATCTACGGTTTTCATTAATTTTTTTCATCAATTGGTGACTATTCAAAAATTCATTGAAATTTCAGTGGAACTGTCACTCGATGAAAATTTTCGACAAGTGTACGGGAGATTCCAGTCAAAAGTTTTCACAGTGTCTCCCGTTGCTCTCAATTACCTTCGTCATTGCCTCGGTATTTTGGAATGTCACAGCTCCAGGTACGATTTTCGTCGCCGTTTCGGTGGGTCCTCTACTTGATGCTGTACCAGCGCCTAAAATTAGTTCAGTGTCTTAAACGATTGTTCACGAATAATTGTGTTTATTCTTGTTGCACATTCATGGTTACCTAAGTGTTCTTTCAATTCTTTCAATTGCTTGAGCTCTCGAATAACTTTGAGCTCATCGAGACTACTTCGTGCTCCTTGCAGCGTGTAATTAATTTGGTGGAAGTTTTAGTATTATATCTTGGAAGATAAGGGGGAGGGAAAATTGACTGGGACAGACTATAAACTTTTTTGATTGCTAGAATTATTTAATACACACCTTGGCGAGAGCCGTAGTAGTCTCTGTCTCCAAACATGTGACTACGTCCGATACCCGGCTCGCCTTTCTGCCCGATGAGTGATATGCCGGGTGGTCCGGGTGGTCCTGGAGGTCCTCTCTGTCCGTCTCTGCCGGGAGAGCCGGGGAATCCATCAGCTCCCTTGTCTCCTTTTATCTGGGAAAGATTGAAAAACTGTATCGATTGAGTTCGACACAGGAAATATGTCATAGGGAGATAAATTTTACAATGCTCTCAAAGATTCATATCTATTCGCATGTCCAACGATGCGTTATCTCGACGACAGAATCCTCGCCGAATATTTTCATTCCCAATATTATCCGTCTGCAACTGAGTGTCATTTATGATGAATTGTCATTAATGTTCCTATTAATTCATAGATTTACTTGATCGCGATCTGGTCGCGTTTTTAAGGACGAAATGCATCTGAGGTAAATAAGTGTGGGATTTGCCGTCGAACGCGAACACTATTTGGGAAAAAACTTGAGTATTTGTTCACAATATTAAATAGACAGTGTGTTTAGTGGCCCGCCTTACGGCGGCCCAATTGTTGTCGCTAATTGAATGAACAATTAGACGACAAATGCTAGAAAATTCTAGAATATTCTGAAATATTATAGAAGGGTCTTGCAGGTAAGCTCTCAAATCAATTGAGAAGTATTTATAAATTTTTATGCGGTTTCAGAATGGTTTGGGATATGCTAGAAAGAATGATCAAAGCTTGGAAAAATGGAGAGCTTTCTAGACGATTGCCGAATTCACCGAAAGATTCTGTGGAGCTCTGGATCTTTCTGCAATTTTTTAGAACTTCCAATCATTTTCATGGAGAATGAATAATCCTGCAAGATTTTCCCAATGACTCAAATTTTCTAGAAGATTCTGTACCGGCCTGGACCGCTCTATAACTTTCTAGAACGTTCCATGATTTCTCAGAGAAACGGACATCTCAAATTTATATAATTACCTGAAACATGCGTGAAACTTCCGATTCGTAAGATAATTTTCACGTAATTTTACGGTAAAATAAAGATCAAATTCATACAACAATTCCCTCGCAAAAAACTGCTGTATCGGTCTGGAGTTCTTCACAGCTTTGTAGAATCTTCCATGATTTTTCGAAGCGTTAGCATCCAGATCAATCACGAAATGCCTAAAGATTTCTAGACCATTCTAGAATCTTTTGGAACACTTTGCATCGAAAAATTGGAGACGTTTCTACTACGATTCGCGAATTTGTACCGTTCTGGACCTTTCTTGAGCTTCCATGAATTTCCGGAGAAACGGACATCTCAAATTATATAGAGTAAGATTACTTTACTAAGATATGGCTCAATGATTTATAAGAACCAATATTTGCTGAGAAAAAAAGTTCTTTTTAGCCAATGAATTAACTTTCGGGGCATCTAAATCCTACGATTTTTGACAACAAAATCAATTCCGTGGAAATAGATCTTTCTGCCATACCAATAATTAGCGAATACACGCATATAGAAATGTGAAAAGTAAATAATAAAAATGTTGCCACCAATTCAAACTGAACAACAAAATGAACACATTAACCCTTCGATCCCTGACGAGTACAACACACCCCACGTTTTTTCTATATTATTTTTTTCCATCACTTTTTCCTTGATTGGAACTAAAATTTGTAGATGATTATTATTTCCCGCGCCGTCAAAATATTTAATATGCAGTCTCATTTTTTTTGTTTTTGCAGTTTTATTTTTAATTTTAAAAAACTGGAATAATTCTTCAAAAACCGAAGGTAACTGAGGATTAAAGTCTATACTAAATATTTTGTATTCCGTAGGACTATGTTGATTAGGACTATTATGGTTAATATTATATTATCATGATTAATTTGAGTAAGATTATCCTCTCTAGGACTATTTTTACCAGGATTAAATAACGTGTCACTGATTGAGATAGGATCTGGCACTGGGACATTAACCTTATAAACTCTTGTGAGTTACGATGAATTCGGAGACGTCTGGTTTTGGTAAGTCATAGGACTATCATATCTGAGACCTTCTTTCCAAGCACCCACAAACTTTTCCCTGGAACTCCCTAGCTCGGACATAATCGGGCTCCCACGACACTTCAAGTTGATGCATTAAAACCTCATCCGTATTGTCACATCAGTTGTAGTTTGTCGAGCAAGAATCGTATAATCGTACCCGAAATTTGTTATATAAGTCCCTAATGATAGCATTCTTTGAATACATTACGACTCATTGAATGGGAACTAATGACAATTGAATTGTAGTGGATTACAGTAGAGGCTTCGTATAAAATACCTTAGGGAAAGTAGGATAGTGGAATTCCGGGAACCCCTATTGTTAAAATAATTTTGGGCCATGTTGGGGGAACCCCTATGCCCCCAGTACGCGCGCCCGTAGAGAGGAGAAAAATAGGGATTAGCGGGTTTCAAATAAGATACCTCGCTCGTTGCGCCCGAATTCAATGAAATTTTCATTTTTACAATTCATGTGTGTTCATTGTTTTTAATTTATATCGCCCGCGTTCCTTTTTCTCTCTAAACGTAGCCCCGCGTGATAGAATGGCAGCTGATGTCGGGGGATTGTTGGTGGACTCGAGAATAATCACAGACGAAAAATTACGATTTTTCGATGGCAAAAGTGAACAAAAAATCGATGTATATTTCCATTATTTGAAAAAAGTGGTGTGACCCCCCGTAAGGTCATTAGACCTTCATGATCACTTCGTTCGTCCCTCCCGTTTGACCCTTAACTCCGTTTCATCTTTATAACTACTCTCTTCCCGTTGAATAATGACCGGGGCCATAGGTATCTTATAAGAAGTCCACGGAACATAAACATTCAGGAGGCGATAAAGGTGCCGAGAGTGGGGTAGCCCTCGACCGCTGGGAGCGCTAGGTATCTTATAGAGAGGTATCTTATACGGAGCCTCTACTGTATTGCTACATGGAGAAAAAACTGTAGGAGAAATTACGTTACAACTCGCGTGATCGTGTGGCAAAATCCTTACTTCGAGAAATTCTTACGGAAATCCAGTAAAAACTGTGAGACAAAAGACGAATATTTCCTTTTATTTCCTTTTATATAAGTTTTGGTTGACAATTGTCCAATGCAAAGAAATTTTAATTTCTACTAGTACGTCCTGAAAATTGGCGCAGAAAACAATTCTTATGAAACAGAATTACGATTACGTTTTAGATTGCAATCATTAAGTTCTTTTCATAGCATTTTTTCTTTTTTTTGCTTCGCGTATCGAATTATCCCGAGTCGAGGATTTAGTTCTGATTGGACGTACACAGGTCTTTCAAGATCTCTCCAGACCTAGATTAACCTGGTGAGTCCTAATCAGTTCTGCGACGTACTTTTCCGGAGACCTTTTGAATCCTCAGTTTTTTCGGTCCTGAGAAGTCCTCCTCTGAGCTACCGAGACCGCGGGATTTCACGAGGGGATGGAGGGGAAGGCATGTATGCAGAGGGTTGAAATTTGTAGGCAACGAGGAGACAGGGTTGCAGAATATATTTGAGCCACCCTCATCTCCCCGTTTGCAGGCGGTGTTTAAATAAAAAATAGTGAGCGTTGATTCTGTATTTATTGACCCCCTGATGCCAATGAAACCCTCGGAGGTGACAGAAAAGACGAAAAAAAAATTTCATTTTCACGTGGATCAAGGGTCAGGGTGAAAGTCAATTTGCGCCAAAATTGAATTTTTTTCGCCAAGTGAAGGTTGATTCTGTATTTTCTAACGATTCTGATGCCAATGAAACCCCGGAGGTGCGACAAATGCCGAAATAATTTTTTTTTTAACCCGGAGCCAAAGGGTCAGATTTTCTGTTCTTCCAAGGGGAAAGTCGACTATCGCCAAAATCGATTTTTTTTAGCCGGGTGGACATTGATTCCAACTATTTAAGCGACGAGCTATTCAGAACTGTCAAACGTATGTGGAAAAAGGGAAAACTGAAAAAATTTGTTTTCATCCGGAGCTAAAGGGTCAGATTTTCGGTTTTTCCAGAGGGAAAGTCGACTTTCGCCCAAATCAAATTTTTTAGCCGGGTGAACGTTGATTCCAACTATTTAAGGGACGGGCTATTCAGAACTCTCAAAAGTATATGGAAAAAGTGAAAACTAAAAAAAAAATTTTTTCACCGGAGGCCAACGTGTCAGATCTTGGATTTTTCCAAGGGGAAAGTCGACTTTCGCCAAAATAGATTTTTTTAGCCGGGTGAACGTTGATTCCATCTCTTTAAGCGACGAGCTATTCAGAACTCTCAAAAGTATGTGGAATAAGTGAAAAATGAAAAAGTTTTTTTTTTTAGATTTTCAAAGGGTCTAATTTTCCGTTTTTCCCGGGGGAAAGTCGACTTTCACCAAAATCGAATTGTTTAGCCGGGTGAACGTTGATTCCATCTCTTTAAGCGACGGGCTATTCAGAACTCTCAAAAGTATGTGGAAAAAGTGAAAACTGAAAAAAAAATGTTTTCACCGGGGGCCAATGTGTTAGATCTTGGATTTTTTCAGGGGGAAAAGTCGACTTTCGCCAAAATCGAATTTTTTCGCCAAGTGAAGCATGATTCCGTATTCATTGACTTCTCTAATGCCAATGACACCCTCGGAGGCGCCAGAAATGTCGAAATAAAAAATTTTCGTTTTCACTTGGAACAAGGGTCAGATTTGTTAAAAATTTCATTTTTTATTCAGACACTGCATGTAAGCGAAGGGACAAGAGTGGCTAGAATATATTCTGCAACCTTCTCCCCTTGTTGGGTATTTTTCAATCCTCCGCATACATGCGTCTCCCCTCCACTCTCTCGTGAAATGTCGATTTTCGAGATTGAAAAAAAAAAACAATAATTGCATTTTCTATTGCAATAACGCATGCGTAAACAGGGATATGAACCCGGATTTAATATAGGTCCATAGAATTACGGGGACCGGCAAGGATTTGGAAATTCTGAATACAAGTCCTGCTTACACCTAACGAGTGCTGAAATGGGACATAACCAGTGGTAGAAAGGTCTCGGAAGCACTTGGGAAGAGGCTTCCCAAGACCTATCCAGTTCTGAACGGAAAGACCCAAGTAGAACTTGTCAGGTCCAATTATTCGACTCGGGATATGGTCCTAAGAAATTGTGGAGAACTCACTCAAGTCGTTCATGAGTAATTCAGAGAAGCAAGTTCGTTAGGAAAATCAAGATACATTAGTCCAATTTGCAATATAGTGAAATAAAGAGTTGGGGAGTTCACTTTCCTGAAACATCATTGCTCCTTTACAAAGAATCGGAATCATATCCCTTTATTGCCTCTAAGAACCGTCGGAAGCGAAAAATGCATGAAATTTTCTTCTCCTACATACGGAATGTGTGTACTTACTCCATTTGCACTGCTACACCCGTTCACTAGGCAGCCTTCACCTTTATCACCTTTCGGTCCAACTGGTCCTGGACTACCGGGAATGCCAGGCGTTCCAGGGCGTCCCTGAAAATTTAATATTGCATTCAATCATAAAATCTCAGTGATATTTGAAAATTTCCGATACGAACCTTGTGTGAATTGTTCTTTTAGTGATGCAATGAAATTGAAATTGAATATTGATATAATTTTTCATTCGCACGACCTAGTTTCATTTCGAATGTATTAAAGATAAAATTATTACCGGCCATCCGGGGAGGCCTATTTCACCGGCATTTCCAGATTTTCCTGGTGGTCCCATTGGTCCTGGCCTACCTCGTCTACCTCTCTTTCCTTCAGCACCTTTTTCCCCTTTGATCGTAACGTAATCGCCAGAACCAGCAATTGTCGTGGCACCTGGTGGTCCTCTTTCGCCCCGATCTCCTTTAGATCCTGGTGTTCCTGGCACTCCACCGGAACCATCTTTTCCAGGCTCTCCTTTATCACCCTGGGGACCCTATACTCACAAATTCAAAGCTGTTACTATCACTGATATAATCGATCACTTCAAATACTGAAGTACTGAAGTAGTTATAGCACCGATAGTGGAGGCGCGAGAGAAATGCTAGATTGCGTGCACTAACTTATTGGCACTCGTGAAAACTTTTATAGTTATAATGAAAAATTTTCTTTGAGTGAATTAGTACCCATTCAATAAACGGTTCAAGAGGAATATTCGAGAATATTATCTCGCGAAGTCAAACCATAAAGTGGTGAAACCATTTAAATCAATTTCACCGCAACATCAGTTTTCCATGCAGAATATCTCAGAAACTGAGGGAGGTAGCAGAATCTTCATAAGAACCTTTATTGTGGAGAAGAATGAGCGCTATGGAAAGGTTTTAAGGAAAATTTTGTCGTCTCTCTTACGTTCAGAGATAATTCTTGAAAACAAAGCTGGAAGGTAAGTTGACTTAGCTTTACAACTTTACCACTGGAATGTATTCTTGTACTCAGAATGTTATTGTTTTCATTTTCAATTAGTGAGTAGCTCTTTTATGGTTTCATTCACATTGAAATCTTCAAAGGGACAACAGTTAATTATACATTGCAATTATCCATTAATTCCTATTATAATGAAATTCGAATGTTACCATACGGAAAGAATATAAAATTATTTTTTATTGTGGGAACATAGTATTTCTTAAGGTGCTTTGTGCGAAAAAGGTAAATAATGATATTCATCTGGAATTCATATGTTTATAATCACAATTGAATTATCTATGAATTTTCCTATAATTTTTCCAGATTTCCTTTTCAAGTTATTAACGATTAAAATCGCTTCTTATACATGGGCTCTTATGGAGATTTTTCTGTTTAACATGAAACCATATTATCCGCTCAGATGGTAATGGAGTTTCGTGCTAAACAGAAACATCTCCATAAGACCCCATGTATAAGAAGCGATTTCAATCGTTAGTAATTTGAGAAGGAAATCTGAAAAAATTATAGGAAAATCGATAGATAATTCAGTTGTGATTATAAATATTCTATATGAATTCCACATGAATGTCATTATTTATTTTTTTCGCACGAAACACCTTAATATGAGAAATAGGATGCAGGACTATAGCCCGCCACACTTGAAAATTTATTATTTAACATAATAACTTTTAGGCCAAATGGAAAACTACGACGTGCTGGATGAAAAAATACGGCTGACAAAATTAGTAGAAAATGGTAGCATAAAAGTTAAATTTTCAATTAACACGAGTATAATTTAGGCAGATAAACACGAATTTTTACTTTGTCGGTTGAAAAAATATTCTCCCGCACGCCCTTCCAAAATGAATATTCGCGGAAGAGGACGAGGGAGAGGGAGATTTTTTGAAGAACCGAAGTAAAAAACCATATTTAATCTTCTTTATCATCCTTAAAAATTACCATCAATAATTCTGCTTCACGTATATTCATTCTGAAAAAGAGGGGGGGAGAGGAAAATTGACCGTCTTAGAATGATAGAATCCACCATCCGGGCTATTGCGTGGTCGACGGAAGGAAGATATTCCAAGAATTGAAAACAATCGACGCTCTCGTCGAGCGCTGGAATTTTTACTATTACACAATTGATTATATTAACTGAATATTTCTCTTTAAAAAAACTCGCATAGAATCTGTGGAACTTTCCAGCAGAATCGACGAAAAATTAATAGAATTTCCAATAGAAATTCAATAAAAATTCAATAAAATTGGTCTCGGTAATTCGCCAGGTTTTTCCATAAACTTTTTTCACGCGCGATGCCATCGAATATTTTTTCAGAAAAAAACTTAAAGGCGATGTAGCGACTACTGTGTGTACAACACCGATAATTGAATTGAAAACAATCACTAATGAAGTCGTTCATTACTGTGAGTTTGTACCTGTACACCATTTATTCCTGGCAGACCAGATGGTCCACTATCACCTTTATCCCCCTTCTCACCCTTGGTACCGAGATCACCTTTGTAACCACGTGGACCCTGCTCACCCCTCTCTCCTTTCTCTCCGTTACCTAATCACCATCAATTGAGAGGGAATTCGTTAAAGAAATATGCTAGAATAGAAATATGAAAACTTATAGCTTTGATGATAATGGGTTGTTTAAATGCTGATCACAAAATTTCCAATTAAAATTAGTGGACGACAATATTTTTCCCTTCCCAAACTCATCGCCTGGAAAATTCTCATTTTCCCTGGATATAACTTTCCATTACTAGGTCATTTTTTTGAGAATTTTTCCTATTTAATGAAGTGTGAATGAGGTTTTGAGTTAGCGAAGAGATTTTAATAACTTCGATTGTTGTACATCATTAACGACACAGAAAACTTGTTCTATTATACAATAGTTTCTAGTTTCTGGGGTCATTTATATATTACGTTACATGTTTTTTGGACTTTTTAGATCCCCTCAGTCACAAGAAGTCATAAATGTCGGCTTATTTTTTGCAAATTACAGCACAAAATCCACGACCCGCTATGGTGATTTTTTTAGGTTCTTTGTAAAATTGAAATTGAAAAATAAGAAGAAGAAAACGAAGGCATCTAATCGGGGGCACGGAGAGAAATACTCAATAAAAATTATGTATCTCTTCCGTAATTCCGGAGCGAAATGTGATTGTAGGAAATTTTACGGAACTCTCACGTAATTTTCATCTAAAATTACGGAATTTTTCCAGAGCGTTCCGTAATGTTTGCCTGAATCGTCTATGAAAAATTACGATACCGTCACTTAAATTCTCCGAGTCGATTCTGTAATCGGTGAGCGAACTGTGAGTTCCGTAATTTTTACTGAACATTTCTCTAAGTGTGAATAACTAAATCTTCATGTGAATGGTCTTTGAACATTTCAAAACTTATCAAATTATTGCCATCACAGGATTCCGAAATGGCTTTTAGTAAGTCTTTGGTATAGTTTGAAGAATTGGTCTTTGTTTTTTTTCTCTGTGTAATTTTTACGATTTTTCCATGGAACTTTCCCTAAAATGTTTTTCTCCGTGTGATTTCCTTTTCCTTCTTTGTGAAATTGATCATTCAAATTTAAAAGATAAACCTGTTCCACTCCCGTTCGATCCTCCACTAGCAACGCTAGGTGGTCCCGGAGGTCCTGGAGGGCCTTGCTTCCCCTCTGGACCGAAATCTCCTTTATCTCCTTTCTCAGCGGGTCGACCATTTTCTCCCGGTGCTCCAGGGAGTCCTGGCGTACCTTTTTTCAAATGATAAAAACTCATGTGAGTAATCATCGGAATGAATAATTCAGTAGGGAAATGGTGAAGTAAGCTTATTCCGTTCAGTATTGACCTGTTGATAAATATTTCTGAATCCGAGGAAGATAGCAGAATTTTGATGAGAACCATATGGAAATTCCACTTCCCTCAATTCCGAGATAGTCTTCAAAAGGCAATAGTAGAGTGGAATTGATTTCTAGCGCTTTCTCAATTCGGGAGTGAACTAACATACTCCTGAGAAAACAACAAAGTTTTCATATTGGAACTTGTGATAGACGTAACTGCTAGTAAAAAAAATTGAGAAGGAATGAATTCCATGATCTGACGTGAGGGAATACAGCGAAAATTGCGAATTGGATTCGGTGTGAGAGAAAGATAAATTGAATCATTTTATTCTCTCATTGAATCTCTCTCTATTTTTCACATTTCTATTGCTCAGTTATCTGAACCACCGGTGTCTAAACCTTGAACTATCACTCATCTTATTTCCAGTTATCGATTTTTCTACGTCAGCTGTACGTATAGTGAATGAACTGTCACAGTGTTCCTTTTTGTGATTGATATCTATATACATCGTCTCGCAGAAAAGGAAAGCGCGTTACTGCAGGCCAAACAATGGTACCCACGCGTTATTTATTTTAGAGCGATGGTACGCAGTAGAGAGTTGAGTAAAATGAACTATTCGTTATACATGAAAAATGCAGAATTTGTAAAGCAGAACTTGAAAAAATCGAGGCGCGTTTCGAAGTGCTTTCTTGTACATGAAGTGAATGAATACAGCTCGTTATTGTCACGCGATATAAAGAATTTACGATCCATTTATTTAGAATTTCGGGAATTACGGTGTTCTAAAAATACTGTAATTTGCAAGACACTTCAATTGAAAAATTCATTTTTTTGTTATTTTTCCCATTAGCCAGCCAACGACAATTAAAGAAAAACGATGCCTTACGGCGTTCCCCTCATGAGGTGACCACACTGAGAGAAAAATATAATTCTTCTGACTATATCCCATCACCGTCGAATTATAGTCAAAAAGTCCTCAACAATTTTTCATGGGTTACGGTAACTATGGCCGGAGAAGTAATTACTACAATGGAATTTAGTCATTGCAACTATTTTATAGTTCTCCTCACGATAGATTTGTCATGGTTACTTTTGAACTTTGGTTAGTTTAACTGCATTTTGATTTCCAAAAATTACACTTGTGAAGTTACTATAATGTTATGTGCCGCATACAAAAAAAATCGCATCGTTCACCAAAATGCCTCAACTATTTTCTTATGGTAAATCGAACTTCAGATTTTTCTCTCAGGGCAGTCTAGGTTTAACAAGTTTTCTACTGTCTTGATCATTGATGATAGCAAACTTCAATGAGCTGTTCGGAAAATTATCCATTATTGTCGCAAGCATGGTTCAACTTGCCTCAATCCTTTGAACATTTTCGGCATCCAATCGAGGAAAAGATTGTGACAAGAACGGAATTCATAGTGATACACTGAGAAAAAAAATTTCCAATATCTGAAACATATTTTCTTGAGACAAGTAATTTTTCTTCAATCGTTTAATTTGTCCAGACATCTCCACTCAAGTGGTGCGAGAAAGGTCTCATGCTTTGAAATATTCTTGTACTCAAGTATGATTTTGTCGCAAATGAACTCATTTAAATCGCGTAGAAGAATAATCAATCTTTAAGTATGTATTGTTTTCATAATTTTTTGTTATGCAGTTGCAATATTTCGATATGTAATATATGCATGATATAATGCGCAACGATAGTGATAAATGAGAATTTATTCGAGTTCCGTGAACCGCGAACATTCTGAGATTTAAACCATTGAAAGTAATTTATTTCTCTCAAGTAAATATCGTCTACGTATTAGGAAATTTTTCTCTCAGTGTCCCGTGAGAGACTTCACGAGACAATACTTTGAAGATCGTCTCGATCTCAATGAACATGGAAATCTTTGGTCTCGGCTCAGTCTCGAAATACGCAGTATTGACTCCTCTTGTGATAACTCCGGGTCAATTTATCCCATTTCGGTCGCAAGTTTTTCGTATTTTTTAATGTAAAATCTCGATTTTTGTCTCAGTTTGTCTCGTCTCGGACTTCTATATATAAAACAGGCGAAAAACTGGAACCGAGATGAGATAAATTGACTCAGAGTCATCACGAGAAGAGTCGATACTGCGTATTTCGAGGCTGAGACGAGACCAAAAATTTCCGTCTTCACGAGACCGAGACAATCCTTCCAAAGTATTGTCTCGTGATGTCTCGTGAAGTCTTTTGCGGCATCACTGGGAATTGATCCTAGAAATGGTTTTTCCTTTCAGTGAATGATCCAATTTGAGAGGCATTAAGCGTGTAATACGCTTGGTAACACAGGAGCCTCGTATGTGAAGGGCTAATTAGTATACGGTCCGCGCTTTAACATAGGCTATAAATCACAGCGCTAAGTTGCATACAAAGGGATCCACCACAGGAAGTTCCAGAATTTTGTGGAGATTCCTCCAATTTTCTGGAAATTTCCAGGAAAATAATGGAATGTTGGGAAGAAAACGATTACATTACATTGCATACTGCAGTTTGCAACGTACACTGAGAAAAAAATTATTTTTGCCAAATATTTATTTACTTGACAGAAGCATTAATTTTTTCAAAGTTGTATCTCTGCAATCGAGTTATTCCGAGGCGAGCCTGATTAGGTTTTAGTTATGACAATCACGCGCGGCGTGCTTCAAACTCGACTTCTGCACGGTGTGACATAAAATATTATACATCACTCGGACATAAACTTCGTTTTCAACGAATGTGAGTACAGACCTCAGAGCCTCACAGCCTTCGACTCTGCTGGTAAATTTCACATTCGTCGAAAACGAAATTTGTGCCCTTGTACTCTAATGTACTACACGGGGAGAAATTTTCTAGAAAAATTCTAGTGCGCGTACTGGAAAAAATTACAATCCACCGGCTGTGAAAAATTCTGTGCTGTTAAGGTCAAATTTCTTGGTATTTCTGGTAAAATTTCTGGAGATTTCTGTGGAATTTTCACAGAAATACGGGGAATAATTTCCCCAATAAAATTTCCAGTGCCGGTACTGGAATTTTTTCCTGACCGTCACTTTGCGCCTCTTCTCCCGTACTAGCACTTGAATTTTTCTAAAAACTTTCTCTCCGTGTATAAGAATATCGTAAAAACCGTTTTCTCATAAGATGGAAAAATCAAATTCGGGGATATATAACCCCCGTTTGACCTATAGGCATAGATGCCTCGCGTGTACTGAGAGAAATATCGTCATAATATCACAAAACCAATTTCTTGCGCCAAATATCTCATCTCTTGAGGATAAATTTTTTGGGATAAGAATTCCGAATAATGTGCCAGACAATGTCAGATTTCGGTGAAGTGTTCATGACTTGAACATGAACATTTTATGATAAAGTGAGAATTTTCTGCTACAAGAAATCGGATTTTTCGTGTCGGACGGTGAGAAAATCACTAAAAATATTAAAAGCTTCGATTCAGTGAGTCATGAATCAGAGACTTTCATATTGAATGAATAGAGAGTTTATGCAGAGCAAAACCTCCAGATATTAAAAAAATATCCGTCGCTTACGCTCAATCGCTTTGAGTTCAAAGGGAAGCAATATCTTCTTTTCCTTCTGTTAAACTATTCTTGTCTTTTAAAGAATATTATCTCATTTCGAAAAAAGCTATCACCTTTTCATTCAGGAACTTCTTCCTTAGCCCGAAGAGCACTGATTTCTTGTCTGAAACCTACCGTAAATTGATCCAATATGTATGCGATGTTTTTCGCTCAAGAAATGATTTTTGTGATATTATATCGATTTTTCTCTTAGTGTCCCGAGTCGAATAATTGGACCTGACAAATTCTACTTAGGTCTCTCCGTTCAGAACTGGATAGGTCTTGGGAAGCCTCTTCGCAAGTGCTTCCGAGACCTTTCTACCTCTGGTTATGTCCCACTTCAGCACTTGTTAGGTGTAAGCAGGACTTGCATTCAGACTTTCCAAATCCTTGCCGGTCCCCGTAATTCTATGGGCCTATATTAAATCTGCGTTCATATCCCTATTTACTCATGCGTTATTGAAATAAAAAATGCAATTATTGTTTTTTTTTTAATCTCGAAAATCGACATTTCACGGGAGGGTGGAGGGGAGATGCATGTATGCGGAGGCTTGACATTTTTATCCAACAAGCGGAGAAGGTT